AAATGAACCTCCAGTCTACCTGGCCCAAAGACAATTCCCCACTCCTCCTCCCCGCAAGGTGCGTGTCAGGGGTTGCTCTTCAAAAAGGTGAAGGCAAGCACCCACGTTTTTCCTACTCCTTCCTCCCTTTCGGAAGGCTGGGGGGGGGCGGGGAACACCCCACCCTCGGGGAACGGAGGGAAAGTTTCTTGGAAACAGAAGTCTATCTGCCCAAACAATACCTCTGCCAGGTTCCTGGCTCATGATCCAAAATCAGTGGAAAGGATTTAAAATGAGAGCACTTGCCGACTGGTTGGAAGGGACTGCTGAAACTTCTGCAGGTAACTGATGCTGAAGCCACAGCCGCCATGGGAAACCAGGTTGAAAAGCCCGTGACTGCTTCCTGCCCCTGAGCCCTGGGGAAAGTGCAGAAAGGATGAGGGAGAGCAACAGTCAGTTTTTAATCCGTTCTGAGCAAAATTCACAGACTAAAAAAATCCACAGTGGTCAGGAATTGTCCCGGTAACCCCACCACAAACATGCCAGATTACCAATAAAATAGGCCGGCACCCATTTAAAGCAAAAGTCAGTCCCAAAATGAGCCCCAAACCTTGCATGACCAAGCTCTTCTAAAAACAGCCCTTGTCAAAGCCGGCAGGGACAGGTTACAAGCAGCTGGTCCCATCCTCCTCCTCCTCCACGGATCCTGCAATTGCTCTGCCAAGTCACGAGGCGTTCCCCGGGCAGCCCGGATTCTCCTTGGCACAGCGACTCGTGCAAAGTGAACCTAGAAATCTCCCTGTCAAATCCTAGGGCAGGGCAGAAACTCGCTCATTGTAGCAAAAACAACCCACCCCGAAAATTCAGACAACCTTGGAAAACATCAAGTGTTTGGGAAGAGAATCTTCCAAATGCTGAACGGGGAGAATCCCCCAAGAGCAATACCAAAAACCGACAGATGCTCAGTAGACCTCAGCCCATCACGAGAAGGTGGATGGAGAGAAGACGGAGCAGAGAAAATCCCGCTGCAAGTCTGCGGTGCTCGACCACAAGGTCAGCGAAGCCCCGATGAAACCTCCCAGCACGGCTGGGAGCCTCACGTCAGCCTCTTCCGTAGCGCAGGACGGGGAGCAAACGCTGGAAGAGGCTGCAATTCCCACCGCTGGACAGGTGGGAGCAGACAACCCGCAGGGAAGCGCTCTGTGAAAAAACAGCAGTAAGGAAAAGCAAGGATGAATCAGTGATCCAGGCGGGTTGCTTGGCCTGCAGCTCCTCAGGGGTCCGGCGTGCTGAGGGGACGAGACGAACCCTGTCCACATGCAGCTCAATCTACATCGCCTTAACTGCATCATCTACCGTTGCTTTGACCCTGGAAAATTTTACAACAGAAGCAGCGTATCGTCTGAGAAAAACGGAGTGTGTACCGACCAGTACCCCCAAAACCCTTCTTACAAAACTGACCGCACTTGGTAAAACCATTTTGACTGGGAATAACTGCTAAGGAAGAAAAGTGTAGTAACTTGGGGGGGGAAAAAAAAAAAAGGAGATATTTTCTGAAGAAATGCTCTAACCAGGCAAAAAGGTAAAGCAAGCTTTGTCAGAGTGACATTTTCTGAACTAGCTCTATCAGTTTCTAAATGTAGCTATTGCATTTAAAATTCATACCCTATCCTGACATTGAATTAATTTCATGTCTAAGCAAATCCCAAGCTAAATCCAGAAACTGGTGTATTCAGTATGCTTTACAAGATACACTGGGAGATAGCAAGGCTAGAAGGTAAAAATTCCTCTCAGATCTTGTTTACCAGAAGCTGGGGATTAGCGAGCCAGTAATGAGAAACTTGAGTACGCAAAGATCAGAGTCAAACATCTCTGCTCCTCAGAAGGGATTCAGAGAAATACCTAAGGGTGCGGGATATGAACCTGTCTCCTGAAAACGGTCCAAGTAACAGGAATTTTCTCTAGTCAGACACACACGGAAAACATCGCCGCCGGCCCCCGTCAGACCCCTCAGCCCATACACGGGGCTGCGCTGGTACAGACCCACATTTGCTGAAGAAATGGTTTCAAACTCCTCATCCCATGGGAAGCCGGTCAGAATTTCTCACAGGCCATCCCTGATGCTTACTGTCAAGCTTTTAATTAAACACACGTTAACGGCAACAGGCCACCCCGCAGCCTCGCAGCTTACGCTTTGGATATCAACCACTTCGCATGCCCAACAGGAGTAACGCCCATGTCTTGCCGCTCTGCAGCTGGGTAAACATTTTTCAGTCTGTGTAACTCAAACGGTAATCTGAGAGTCCCTGCAATTTAGAGCAATCTAAATTGGATCATCACGTCTTCATCAAGTAACATAGTAAGAATGTTTGAGTTGTTTTTGTAATTACTAGTAAACGTTGCATGCTGAATGGCAGAATACTTCATAATCTCAATTGCAGATTTTGATGCAATTTTCAAGAATTACCTAATCCCAGTGAGCTGTGATATCACCTGCCTTGGATTTCTTGCCTTTAGCGCATAAAGATAAAAGCAGAATTTACCTTACTACACGGAGTCCTTGTCTTTCATCTTGTGTTACGCTAAATGGTAATTAATCAGGGCTTTTCCTGTAGCCATCCATGAGAAACAAAATCCCACACTCTGTTTAACTTGGATTCCAAAACACAAACCCTACAAAATCCAGGTGACCGGCTGTTTTGTAGCTCCACATAAAAGTCTCCTCTGTGCTTCAGGTGCTGCAGCAATGGCCGGGAGCTGAAAATGAACATTAAGATGAATAAGTGATACACAGAAAAAAGTGCAGAGAGATTAACAGCTCAACAGAACATTGGCCGAGACTCTCACAAACAACCCCAAAAGCCTGGCTCACACATCAAGGGAACGTGGCCCAAAGCCTCACGTCAACCTCTCTCTTAAGAGGAAACGCACGAGCTATTTTAAGCTCTGCAGCACCAGTAAACAGGCTTCAGTGGGTAATCTTTGCTGGCCTCTGTACTCCCAAATTGGCCTCCGCCTAAGGGCCCAAGGGTCTGTACACACATAGCTCTCCTAGAAACTAGGGGGTGCCACTTACGGTGGCTCACACGAAGCGTTGCCAACTTTCTTTCCGCCGAGGCAGGTCCAAAAGAGAAGAATGAAGGGCACACAGGGCAGCACTGTTGCAGCACAGTAACAGAACGATCTAGAAAGCGTTTAACAGCAGAACATAAGGAAAACCTTCTTTACATCACCTCTGAAATGCCACTCTATTGAACAGGCACTTTCCAAGAAGAGGGGCGTCATCGGAGTGTTCAGCACCGCCGACCAGCTACATCAGAAGAAAAAAAGCGCTCTGCTCTCTTCCACCTCTCCGCTGCCTCTGACACACTACCAGCACACGCAGGGAACACTCATTTCCTTAAATTCAGAGTAACTGAAGGTTAGGACACTGTTAACGGCCCACAGCACAGTCAGATGCACAGCAGGAGGAAAAAAAATCACAGCAGATGAGAACGCAGAGGTCCAGCAGTCCTCTAGTTC